GACCCCCAAATCTAAGTTTTGGGGGCCCTATGGTGTGATTTGTCTCTGCCAGCTCCAGTTGTTTCATTTGCTCAAAGAGGAGTTGGGTGGACAGTCCTTGCATCCATGGTCCTGCCTACCACCAGCCACCGCCTGCAGATGGGGTTCGTCACTGCTTACTCGCTATTCACAGCCTCGCTCAGTGGACCCTGCGGGATCATGTCGAAGGCCAGTTTCCAAACCATCCCCGAACCTTCCTTGGATTTGAGATCACTCTCTGCTCCCCACTGGAGAAGAGCTAACGTACTCAGGCAGCATCAGTGAGGTTTACAAGGAGGAAGGAGGAGGGGGGTAAGATGAGAAGGAAAAGCCTGAGTCCTGCCGAAAGAGAAAGGAAGTAGAGACTGGCTATTAAATAAAGGAGAACACACACATACACACAATCCTTCAAGCCTAGGAAGCTCACTGAGTTTTACTGAGAAGTTTAAATGAGACTTTTTAAATGTTACAAAGTAGTATTATGCTGTCTGTACATATTAGCCCATACAAAGTATCATTTATTATTGCAACTAAAGTAACTATATCAGAAAAACATATCAACTGTCATTCTGTCCCTCTGACAACACTGTAAGGAAACAGTGCTATAAGAAAAGCAGGTGAATATGGGCTTCCTGACACAACAATGCAAATCAAGAGTATTAAAAATACGGACACATACAAAACTAAAAAACAAAGCAATTCCCTGAGTTTTCATCTTAGAACATTCACATTCATATTTCTTTTGTGAAAAAATGAATTAGGACACTGTTCATGGGCAGCCTCATGGCTTTTGCTTCACACACGTGGTCACTGAGTTATAGCGGCTGGTTAAAAAAGTACACTCATTTCAGGAAAAATAGTGGTATCACTTCTCCACAGGACTTTTTCCTCAAACAGGTAGATTTATGGCCTGTCACACAAGAGTTCATAATTATAGATGGTTGACTATATCAATCTTCAAGCTATTTAAAATATAGTTGTTGTTTTTTTAATGAGTGGAATTTCTTTTTGAATTCCTCAAGTCACCTGAACAAGTTAAACATTTGCTAAATAACAGTGATCACAGATAGATTTGATAAAATTCATTATAGGATCTTCATAATTGGCACAGCTGGGGTGTCACTGGATTTGACTCAGCATACTGCATGAGAACACGAGAAAGGGTCATTTTGATCCCTAAATACAAGGCCATTCCAGTGGGGAGCCTTTTAAGGCAAAGAGGGAACTGGGTGCTTGCACACTGAGCTTTCCTCAAGTCAGTGTCAGATTATTTACCAATGAACAACACAGTTTAAAAATTAAAAGACTTACAGAAACCACATTATGGTTGAGACACTAGCTTCATATCTGGCCATGATTAAACAAAAA